GTGCACGTGCTCACACGACGCCCTTTGGCTATTTCAGCCCAAAATGTCCCTTTGATGGGGGTTCATGCCAATTTGTCTGGGCGTCGCCCAGTCGGCAAATTAAGCGCTCCTCAGGCCAAGCCTCAACCCATCGAATTCCTTGCTTCCTAAAATTACAACATGTTAAAGTCAAGTGTCCAAAGTCCACCAAATCTTCGCACTTTCTGGGCTATTGCCATATGAAATGTTATCTGAATTGTCCAAGCATCTTCTGATTACTCAGGAGTAAACAGCTCTGAAACTAAATTTTCTGAATATGCTTCATTTCTTGACGTGACAGCTCATCTCTGTTGAATTTGTTCATCACGCTGTTGTATCTGCTTTGCTTTTTTGGCTGTCCAGTCAGTTATAGATGGAGTTTTCACTTAGCCTCATTTATCTCTCAGGAACTCTTGTCGTTGTCTTTACTCTAGGTAGACTAATATTTTAATCGTTTTCACATTGTGTTTGCGTGTGTGTCTTGGGCACTTATCAGTTCTTAAAATATTTGCATCACTAACAGCTTGATAGCCTTATGTTGCCAAGATTCTGAAATCAGAATGAAGGTTCCAGACGATAACTTATGTATGCTATAAATGCCAACTGGATAATTGGCCTTGGTGATCTAAGCGAGTTTGGTTTTACTGCTGTGTTCGAGCTTGTAGTGAATGGTCGTTCTCTTATTCATTATGATTAACTAACATTTGGCCACTCAACTATTTGGTATGCCCCGTCTTGATGTGCCACGAAGAATAGGTCTCTGAAATAGTCTGGAGAAATGTGGAAGCCATAATCAAATGCGTCGTGCTTGCAGAGATGCGTCATGGACTTGAATTTGTTCGGCAGGGAGAAAAAATTGAGGCAACTCTTCTACTAATCATTTGTAAACAATAATTTTGTTGCCCATGACGGGCACAACGAACCGGGGGATGATGAATACAAGCTGACCCGGCTTGTTCAAAAAGTGTGCTATCCTGAGCAATCAACACCAATTAACATTATGTACATGACAAGTACATTTGGAATATACTCATACCCCAGTAGCGTTTGTGAGCACCACTCGACCGGTGAAGAAAAATCTGAGTGGCTCACAGTAAGGACAAGAAGTCAAGCAACGGATTAAATAGGAGCAGCATAGTGGATTTCGCATCGGATATTGACCAAACAGAAAATGAAGGAAATGTCGCAGAGGAGCATTTTGTGTTGAACCTGAAAGAATGTGGCAAATTTGCGTTAACTCTTTTTGGTACAGGGCAAAGTGCAATTGTAAATCCTTTGACATAATTGCATAACCCTAAGATTATTCAGAATCCTCAATTATCGACAACAAATTGTATGACTCTAATAAGGGTAAATTTTTCCAAAACTTGCTGAGGCTTAATATCTTGCAGCCAATGTGGGTTTTTGCATAACATGCATTCTGATTTATGTGTAGAAGCGTTGTCATGATGTATGCATGCGTTTTGACGACGTAGTTTAGTACTCACAATGTGGCAAGCTAATTGCATAATCTTAACTTTAGCTTCACTATTGTTAATGTTATAATTATACCTAAAATTGGTGGCTTTTCACGTCCACGTACTATCGCACCCTTTGAACCGTTGCGATTTTAAATATACTTCGTTATTAAACTCCCTTAGATATTTCCTCTAGGAATTGTCGTTGTGTCGCTAAATATGACCGTGTTTCCTTAACAAATACATAAATACTAGCTATTCTATTAGCTTCTGTCGTTTTCGTGGTTCTCATGGCGGTTTATGTCGTAATTTGCTTATGATCCATAATTCAATGGGCCATTACCAGTTTTAGCATCATGTTATGAGTTCCTTATTTAAACCTAACTAACCGAATTGTCGTTCTCAGAAACAACCGATCCCTATTGGCTGATAGCATGTTCTTACACGTCGTTAATAAATTTTATACTGTTGATCGTTATTCTGAATTAAATTTCTAGAATGCTTTTTAGTGAATTTTGTCGTCGTAAAATGTCGAGTGATATGATGCGCAAGCGCTCATTGAATGTCAGCCTCAACAAATACACTGAATGCACCAGTCTACCTCTACTTCCTGATTAAAATGTATGGGATAAAGCCAAATCAATCATTCTCCACTCTGGTTTCTAACAACAGCTCTTCACTGCGTTAACGACACTTATCTCTGCTGCTTTACCTTATCACAGGAGTTAAACGTTTTCCTATTACTAGTATTGTTTGTCTTCAAGAGTCTTTTAGTCTTACATGCTTTGTTGAACATTGTGGTCTGTCGTGGCATTATTTTCAGCAAGATGCTTATTTGGTTTTTTTCTGATAGGAGGAAAGTCTACCGAAGTCATGTATTAGTTTAGACCTTTTAGAGTAAGCAAACTCCTGTCAGAGGCAGTTCCAGTCACTTGCATATTTTTGCGAAATCTAACCACCATCTTGGCAAAGCTATATCTGTCGTGTGCTCCACAATCACCTATATAGCGAATGAAAGCAGAGTATGTATGCTAGAAGTTATACAATTATTTAAGGTCATTGTAAGACTTCACCATCGGAACAAAGTCGATGTCTTCGTCATGTAATTGAGAGTATCCTTTCGTTTTAGGTTGGCACAATATAGCTAACCAAATCTCGCCATTGATGCTAAGCCTACACGTCAAGAAATGTTTTTTTTCCAAAATTTATTATATGAGTTACGGTCTACCCTCATTGTCACCTGCGTCGCTACGTACTCTAATCGTATCTGACATTACATTAAGGTCAGCGTGTTGGCACGTGTTCGAATGGTGCCATTGGTTGAGCAGCATGTTGTTAGACGCACGCATTGTTGGGAGGAATGCGATTTGAAATTCCTATTTGCTGAATCTGCTTAATAGAAGTTATTATTGGTGTTGAAGGCTGAATCTCCTGGTTTGTCCTTTTCTATGTTGTATGCGTCAGCAAGCAGCTTTGGCTGTGGTCTGTGCAGTGTCACATGCTTCGTCTTTGCGGTAAGAGCGTGCGGGTGCCTGTGCACAAACCCCACGTGAATGGATGACCTCTATTTCGCTCCGCTAGACAGTTGTGTGGCACGTGGCATGTCTTTGTTAATTGCTTGTAGTAAACACCACTACACTTCTCTGAAGCTGACTGGTGCAACGGTCGTAATCCTTCTTTGTACGTCCAATTATACGTTCATATGCCTAATAATTATTTTCTGGCGTAGAGCTTCGCATTCATTCGACACGTTTCCCAGGCTAATTTAAACTATAGCATGTTGTGGCAGGACTCTAGTTTCCATGCTGGGCAAGTAAAGTATTCATGCAGTATGCAGCTTGTCGAGGTAGTGTCACATCATTTTGCATTGATATTTCTCCCATTTTCTAATGAGATGTAGTTGATTATATAATTTCAAGCGAAAGTACTGTATACTTTAGCTGCTCTTCTCTTTACAACTGTAAGTATAATATCCGATCATAATGATTTGCAAGTCGAGTTCGTGCAAACGCCTTCTCTGAAAGGTTGCGGTGAATCCCTCAATGTTGTTTCGGAACATGATTTGATTTTTAGGAATAAATTCAATTTTCCTCAATGCACTATGTATACTTATTTCGACATTCTATTCATGAACACTTTTCAGTTATCGTTTTGTTACGTTGGTTTTTGATTACCATTAGCAGCGTGGTTTGTGACGGGCCATTTTAAGCAATTAGGTTTGCAAGACCCCTTTTTGTACATAAAATAATTAGCTTCTGAGAGCTAGGGTTTTTGGTCCTCATTTTGGCACTGTCTGGTGAGGCCTGAAATGCTCTTAGATCTATCAGGGACATCGCTTTGTATTTCAGGATGTGTGTGTGTGTTTGCATGATATCGTTCTGAAGGCATCTTGACTGGCGCAAGACAAAAGGGGTGGTGCCAAATTTGATTGGCGCATTTGCAGTACGAGGTTATGTGAAGGGAAGGACAGTGACCACTCCCGTTCGATTAATATCTGTCATTACTACTAATTATCACACCAAGAACACTTCACCGCTAATTAGTATCTAATGTAAATCCAGTAAAGCTTCCATTTCATTCTTTTTGGTCCTTTTCTGGTTTTTCGCTTTTTCTCATAATTTTACGCTGATTGACGTCGGAGCACATTACGCAATTTTAAATGTTTGGTAAACTTTATTGTCGTTTTTTATTTATCGTGAGTTGTTTTGTTCAAGTAATGGTTAGCCAGAACAAGTGCCTAATTAGGGCGATTCTGTTGTCATGAAAAAACGGACTTTACTTAAAGCCACTGACTATTTAACAGATATTCCATTCTGTTCTTTCAAAAACATTTGTGTTTTGCACAATTGTCGTATATTGTCTGTAAAATCAACTTGTAAAGTATTGCCTGCTCTACATTAAATGAGTTTTCATTTATTTAGGAATTATATCGTTATCAGGAGCGCGGATACTCACTAATTGACCTTTGAATGGAGTTGCAGAACTTCTCCGAAAAAGTAAGTACCAAAAGATGTCTCTCGCTGGCATCTTCTTTAATTCCACCGTAGATCTATTTTCCTATATCACTGGATGTTTTTTTTTGTCTCTTTGCACATACTACTCGTTTCTATGTCATCCAACTTACTTGTTGCAGAAGCCACCAGTCGTTTCCAACTACTATTACTAATGGTCTCCTCTTTTGGTTATTTAAACAGACATTTTTTTAGATAAATGTTGGCCTGCTTAGATTTTGAGACGTTCTTGCAGCAGACATCAAAATACGTAGAAGCATTTGTATGATTCTCACAGTTACTTAGATTGCTGGGCGTGTTCGCTAACTTGTCGTTGTCATGGTTATGCCAACAATGTGCGCCAATCAACCCAGGCCTTCCGATCGTGTCTGCCTGTGCCATTTGCGTGCACGTGCATTGGTTCACGCCCATGCGACTTGCATCGGAAGCCGAGTTTCGCAAGGTGTAGCGAGGCCTGAGCACGAAATTGAGCCGGACGCGTTCTTTGTCGGCTGTTCACAGAAATTGACGGTCAATGTCGACTCTACCTTCTCAGGACACCATTCGACGCTCCCACTTGAGTGTAGGTGATATGGGTTTGTCTACCGGGCATCAAAACTTGCTCCCCGTAGCAGCGGGCGTCCACATAATTCCCGACCTCACTTCTGGGCGTCCGAGTAGTGTCGTATCAAGTAGTGCTACCCATTCTCATTCTGGGCACTGCTTACATAACAACCATGTGAGCAATTCCTTATCGATCTATCTAAATGCTGCTTTGTTATTTTAACTTGTCCTGTTAAGGTCACAGCATCTCGACACCATGGGTTTTCGTCGTCAGGGCGGTATCACAAAGGGAACCACTGCCCATTGTTTGAAGGAGCAGTCTGTGGGGCATCTCTGAGGGAGGTTGTAGAAGAAAATGAAGACAGTGGAGGCGAACTGATGCTGAATAGTGGGATAAATGAGGGCGAGCAGAAATATGGTAGAAGTGATTGTCACCTAGCCGCTCACTCTTTTTCAGTTATCAACTGCCAAAAAGATAAAGTATGTAGTTTTTTTCGAATTACTTCATAGAAAATACCAAAGCATTATTGTTTGGAATGTTTGAATCCACTCATTCGCAGTTGAAGGCCATTATCCACGACGAACATAAGAATTACGCGTCAGAAACCATTTTTTTGTTAGCCACGAAATGTTATTCAAAATATAATGTCGGATAGTAATCAAGCTGGTTCTATTGGAAAGTTAAATGTGTTAAGCCGTTTGAACTGACGTTGTTTAACAAAACAACCTTATTTGCCTGAATATATACTTATTGTGTAGATGATAAGTGAACCTTCACTGGCCGTAATTGTCAATTACATGCGCCTACTTAATTACTTGTCTATTTATTAATGTGGTCTGGGATATTGACATTTGATGTAAATAGGTAGTGGACAAGTGAAATGTTGGCGACAGAAGTATGAAAAAAGTTATCACACTTAAAGGCGGGTTCCGTAAAGAGTGATTAGTTTAAACAAAACGTACGAGGTTTTTGCGAAGTGGGCGTGTGTGAGTGAAAGGGGAGTAAACCTGTCGAATAGAAACAATGAAGGAAGAGACATTTTCGTTAATACTGTGGGGGGCTACATAACTTCAACAATTCTACCTAGTACTTGATAGTGTTTTCAACTTATACTCACTGCTTTCCAACAGCAATCTAACTTGTACCAATATTGTTTTACGCTAGTGGGATGCGCTTCACCGTCCAGTATCGCTTATACAGCCGCATGCTCGGAAAATAATCAGTTGGGCCACACGGCCTCGACCCGCATCATCCGCACCATACATTAATTTCTCGACATCTCTTGTGAGTTTGCAGAACCCAAAAATCTGTGCGTTCTCGTGCACTGTCGGGCGCCTTAACTCAAATAACCCATCCAAAGAACACTTGCTTATTTCAATCAATGTAACGATGCGCACTTTATCCATTTCTCCTCTTCCCCTAAACCGCCTCTTCAATTTTTCTGTGGAACTTCGCACCATTACAAATCGTGTCGCTTTTTTGATGTAGAGGAAGATTTTCAATGTGGGAAAATTATCTAATTTTTTCTATTATTGAAGGAAGAGGAGTTATTTGACAACGACAATTGTGAGGGATCGCCTGTGGAAAATCGACGGAGTCTAAAGACACCTGTGAATTCTACTGACCACTCCCTTCGTTGCCTAGCAAAGGATTGTTCAGCAGACATATCTGCAGAGGAGGCAGCAAGCAACCAGAAATCGTCTGCTTGTTTAGCCGTCAATGTACCGATCCCCGAGGATAAAGGCAAGTTTTGTACTACTTATAGGGGTTCACGAATTCACCACTCCTCATATCCTTGATTCATAATTCTCATAATCTGTGCCGTTTATCGGTATCAGAACACATCCAACATCTCACCTATCCCCAAGTATGATGTTAATTGTTCAACAGTTTTTGGCTTGTTCATTTATGGTTACTTAGAAGCAATGAACGTACTCGGTCAAGATCGTAAACATAGAGTTCCAAATATTTATAGCTAGACGAATGCCAAAACCGTCTGACTCGTGCTCTCCATTCAAAGACAACGAACGTTTTACCTCATTAAACCATGTAGTCACTCCATTAAAGCTTTTCAGTTTAGCAACATGGAAGTGGTAGTCTACCAATGAGGTCGACAATGTGAGAAATTGGTGCACATTTACTAAAACTTTCTTACATTACAAAAATCGTTAACCCACCTGCACGCAATTTCTTTTTTTGGTTCTGACATCTTAACAACCAATGACCTTCAAGAATTTTCCTGACTGGCGATTTCCACAGGTTTTGAAAACATTGGATGGATTTAATGCCCTGGTTTTTTTTTCACAGAAGCATTTGAAAGCTTCAATCATTCAATGTCATGCGATAATCGTCACCATGACGCCTACCCTCCATCGCAGACACCGCAAGTTGTTTCTTCCAGTAACTCCACTTCAGTGGCCTACCACCACCCCCATGAATCTCGTCGCGGCAACCCAGACAGCCGGACAGTTATTTCAGTCGGCGATGACCCCGCCGGGCAGTCGCTGCCAGGGGTGGCAGCGAAACGCCCGGACTGCTGTGGGGGCGGCGCCGCCTCTGTTACTGGGGTCAGCATTGTTAGCGCGCGGTCGATGATCCAGGGTTCGGTCATCACCTTTCGGGACGTCGAGTACATTGTGCCCGTTAAGAAAAATCCCTGTAGTCGAGCGGTGAAAAAGGTGGTTCTCGATGGCGTCAGGTAACTACATTTTTTGCCACTGCCTCTCGAAACGCACATTTTGCTTCCTGACTTCAGTGAAGTCAATGTTGGACTAATAATATTTGTTTCAACGACGAAGCCTCACCCATAAAGTCCGAATTTCTCCACTTGTACAAATGGGCCTGCCACTAATGTGACCCCAAAACGTAGGCTGAAACCCTATTCATAATGCTTGTCTCTAGATGCATAGAATAAATTATTTCCCGTTCACCTCATGCTCGCACAGCAAACATAATTACTGTTTATTCATCTCTAACGAGTTATGATGCTTTTTTGGTTGTAAGCAGGCCTTAAGTCATTTTTGTATAGTGCGATTGGTATTTTGGGGCTTGTAAATCAAATTTCAGATCATTAAGTACACGGTTTTAATATAACTGGAGAAAAGTCAAGTGTTGTTGATTATTTTTAGTAATATTGCTTTCTAAATTCCGGATTTGTGCATCTTTCACATAGAGGATGTGAACTTTCACACATCATTCATTTAATGCTTATGAAAAACTTTTATTTAACTGCACCTCAATTCGGCAGGTTCTCCTTGAAGAACAAGACTATTTCATTTGAACATTTCCATTGTTTTCAGTGGAATTATGCGCCCTGGCTTGAATGCCATAATGGGTCCCACAGGCTGTGGAAAATCATCGTAAGTCAATCTTAAATAAACTGGTAAATATTTTTCACTACATTCTTGTGTAGTTATTCATTGGTACTCATGAATAACAAAATAGACGTTTTCGGTTCTTGGTGCTAGATACTGAAAACTTCCACTTGGAAAAAACCCCTTAGCGGCTGTCACACTTTACTGCTGCGGATACAATTTCTGAGGCAGGGTGCCATTTTTCTTCAGTATCACTACCCTAAATATTTTTACGATCCTTTTTAAAAAGCAGATATTTTCCGTATTGTAACATCCACTTTGTTGTAATGTTTCAATAAGTTGACTCTGTGAGTCTTAGTTGCGAGCAGAGAAACAACTTTTCGACTTCTTCTGATCGTGGCTTGTTGGCGTCGTCTTTTCTTGATAGCATGCGTTGTCTGCCACTGTAGTGACCTTAAACAAAATATTTTCCCATCTGACCTTGACTGCAACTTAACATGCGTGCCGAATTCTATGTACCAGTTTTTATTTAAAACCAACCCCACTTTTATTACCGCTACTTTCTTTAAAATGAGGAATTTTTAACAGTGTGCTGGAAGACATTATTATGCTACTATTTAAACTTGGCCCCACTGCAATAATGAAACATTGCTTCGGCTACACTCCTTTTGTTCCTCAGAAGGAAGGAACTATCACACCCTAAAATACAAAGCACACTGACAGATTTGCTTTGTTTCCAATAGGTGGGGACTTGGTTGCGTTTTGCACCGGCCTGGCAAATTAAAAAGTTGACTAAATCGCCAAAGTTGAAGTCGTAGTTTCCATCTTTGAAACGGTTTTTAACTCGTATAAACTTTCGCTTGTGTGATTTTAGGTCTTGTTAGCGTATTTTCTCCACTTTTGACGTAAGTTAAAGTGGCTTTGCCCGCTTGGCACGCAGTTTTCTCCTATTTTGAGCCATACTAACGCCCAAGACCGTAATTTGTGTAGGCGTGAATGTTCCTGATTAGCTTACATCCAAGGAACTGACTCATTGTCGTCTGCAGTCCAAATCCGGATGAATTTTACGACTTGAACATTTGTGCCTGTAGAAGAGACCCTGTGTGGGTTTTTTAATTAGTGCCTTTGTTCACTGGAACTTTGTTTGTCATATTTTTGTTGCTGAAGTGTTCCAACTTCTCAGACACCTTTCCCTATCATTTGGCAAGCTGGCAAGCGATAGTGATTATTGGATGTCGTCTTCAAGGGCTCGAGGGTTATTGGTAGTGGTTTTATTTGTGCAAAGAATTACAGATTGAAGTTGTAGCAGGTAGCAAGCCACATCGTATCCCTTTAGCTCGTTAACATCCGTTGAATTCGACAACATGGAAGAGGGTGAGAGGGCAACATGGAGAGGTGGGCGGTGTGTATGTGTGTGCGTTCATCAAGTACTATTGAACAAGGATCAATGAATGGCCAGAGTGAGTGACGGACACCCATCGGCTTTAAATGAACATGCTCAAACAAGCTTCTTCACGTGTGCGTTCACTGTAGGTCCACTATAAACTCAAATTAAGTACCTTTTACAAGACGTAATTGGGATCGTTAAAACTCCACTTACGCTGCTGTTTTTCCGACTTGGATTAGAACATTTTCAATTTCAACTACTTCCTCTTTTCGATTCAGGTAGCCTAATTCATTTGGGGTTTGTATATTTGCGTTCATTTCACATTAATTTGGTTTAGTGAGGGTGACAAAACACCTTATCAAGAGGAAAACATGTTTATTGTCCCAAACCTATTTTTTTTATCTGCTAGCCTTCTCGACGTTTTGGCTGGACGCAAGGATCCGCGCTTTCTCACTGGTGAGGTATTAGTAGACGGTCATCCTCAACCAAAGAACTTTAAATGTATCTCAGGCTACGTCGTTCAGGTACATATGCATATTAATACATAATCTTGAGGAGCATTCATTTTATGGTGTCGAAAAATCATTTTTAAAGTCATTGAGCTTGCGAATAAAATGTTGCTGCAAATACCTACACAATTGGTTAAAGAATTTATGGAAAACTTAGGTTGCACTTTCATAATTGACATAACTCCTTTCTTTATGCCAATTTTGATATGAAATGAAATCATTTGAGCTGTTGCATATCTAAACAATTCCACTATGCGCCTTTATTTACTGACAAGACGAACTACATCGCAGTAAAAAAATTCCCGATGGAGTAGTTTAGAGGGTGGATCTGCTCAAATATCAAACATTCACTGTGCTCCGGCTTTGTTTCATTTTTGTATCAAAACATTGGAAACTGTGTTAATGGTAGGAATACGCAGTAATATATGCGTTTGTTAATTTTCGTGAAAAAAACGTCTTGAAATAATCAGGTCATTTATTAAGTAAGCTTTGTGCTTAGGTACAAACCCACAGAGAACCTTTAATTTCCATCATGTATTTGGCTGCTAAAACGTACAAATGTTGTACGCATTTTTATGTTGGTGTGGTAGGCGCATGTCCCTGTGTTCCGCATATCTGTATATTTTGCAAAGAATATGCCAGATGATGGGCAGGACACGCACACAAATTCGCTTTAATTTGCCCAATTTAGCTCTCACAACTTCGGCCGTGTGCTGATTGAAAATTTCGCGTTACTCTTGAGCTATTATTTTGAATGACCATGGTGAAACTGATTTCGGCTCACCACTGGAGTCTACAGAGCATGTCAAAAACCCAATATTTAGTGTTCGATTAGTCTATACCACTTTTGTACTTGTTACAATTACACAGTTTTATTCAGCAACACTCTTTGCACTTCTAAGGATGACATTCTCATGGGCACTTTGACAGTTCGTGAGACTTTGTACCTCGCCGCCGCACTGAGGCGAAAACAGGGATCTACCAAAGTTGAAACGCACGAAAAGATCAACGAAATTCTCGACGAACTTGGTCTAATGAAAATCGCAGATAACAAAGTGGGTCAAATCAAGTATTTTCCATTTGCTGATTTGTTCGACTCTCGTCGAAAATGCCCTGAGCCATTCACTGCATTTCATTTACGAAATACGGTGTTTACCTTCTGTGCCATCGCTATTGTAGCCGCCATAGTACAGACAAGTATCTTACCCACCACATGACTTCCAACAAAAATAACTCGTAGAGGCAAAATCGATTGCTTTAATTGTAAATAGCTACTCAATTTCGAGTCATCATCTAACCCACCTACTTTTGATCTGATCAACTTTGTGGCATAAAACAAACCTGCGAAAAGTCGTTTTTGAATTATTTGATTTTTCATCAAACCGTATTTAGACGCGACACTGTGCTGTCACTGCCATTTTTACTAACCAATGCAAAGATAGAGGAACTAATGACTGTGAATGCTCGCCTCAATTCTAATGATATGCATTTTAGTTCTTATCGAGCTCATCGCTTCTTGACACGAGGTCGAGTTTTCCCATTGTCTTATTGTTTTCCGACTGTCGAATAGATGCACCTTAGTTAAATACGGAATCGAAGCCTAGCTCATTTTAGGTTCAACGTCGTTATCTTTAGTGTCAAGTAAAGTTATACCATGCAGTCTCTCATCTGTCTGATTTTTGATTGAAAGTAACCAGTAACATGGATGAGCTTCGCACACAATGAACTTGTCGCCTTTTAGATTGGAACGGAGCTTATTCGTGGCATATCAGGTGGGGAGAGGAAGCGAACCAGCATTGGGATGGAAATAATTGCTGACCCTTCCGTTTTGTTTCTTGATGAACCGACGACTGGACTTGATGCATTTACTGCTGGAAGTGTCATTCAAACTCTGAAATCGTAAGTGATATTAGTTGTAACATATGTTAACATATGGCTTTAAACTAATCGCAAAGGGAAAGCCCAAGGGTCTAACTGGGCATATTTTGAATGTTTTTTTTAACCAAGGCGAGAGTTAAAATGTCCTTGAGCACCACTGAGTCAGAAATTGTTTTACAATGTCACAAAAGGGCACAACAATTCACTTTCATTTTGTCTAAAATAACAACCGCTTATTGTCCCTTATTAATAGAATTAGGCTTTTGCGTTATTTATCCACTTAAGGTGACAACACCGAATATATGTGTTGGCAGTTTCACTCCGATATTCCCTTGGAAATCGTTTTTTTTCGGGGAAAGGTAAACTCACTTTCTAAATAGAACAAAATTTCCGGAATGTTGGAGTAATGTTTTCGATTAGTTTTGCGCTCTTTTATGTTAGTAAGCACTTCAAATAACATGGAAAGTTGCTTGGATTTTGGGTGCTTCTGTTAAGAGACTATTGTACTGGGCCCCCGCGGTCACGGCTTAGCATTAACTAAACTCCCTCTCAGCTATCTTTTATTTGCCCCGCAAAAGACGCCCATGTCATTTCATTTCACTGGTGAAGCGACCATCTTGAAACTTTTCTGTCTCGATAGGAATAAACGGACTTCGAGTAATTACATTACTTATCGTTATTTCGCACCACATCATGTAAATATATATGATTAACATAATAATCATTGCATTTCAATTTTACTCTCATTTTTTTTAAAATTAATCCCTAATTTTCATAGGCTTATACTGGAACATTTAATCGCTACTAAAAATTAACAAAAATAAATTTCCAGATCGTCTCAGTCTTAGAACTCGTTTTATCCACATCAAGGATACCTAAGTCGAAGACAAAAGGTACACTATCTCAAGGAAGACAATATATTTGAAGTCTTTCGTACAGCTGGCTTTTAGTTACTTCATTTGTTATTTATTCACACTTTTTTAGCTAAATATCCTTAGTTGTCTGCCTTCTTTATCTGTTTTATGCATTTTCGATCCTGTTAGCTTTGCAGAAAGCATTTAATTTTGTAACCCGTTAAAACGTACTAGCATCTAATGGCATACAGCAATACGCCACTCCTTGTCGAAACCATGTCGCTTTCTTGTTCCTAGCCAAACCTGATAATTCGTAACTACGAGTATTTCCCGTAGTTTGATGCAATGATGCTAGTTTGTTCTGAGGTGTGTTTCTTCTTACTAGATTATCTCGACGCGGGCGGACGATTGTTCTCTCGATTCATCAGCCCAAGTATTCCATCTACAAGCTTTTTGATTCCCTCACACTAATGGCCAGCGGCCGAATAGTCTACCATGGACCGGCCCGAAAAGAGCCTATACAGTATTTCTCCAAGCTTGGTAAGTCGATTGACAACCTTTGATGCACGTGTCTTTGAGCAATCTTTTGTTTTTATAGAATCAATTGCCCTGTTGCATGCTTTCATGAACACTTTCTCTTGTCGTTTTACTTTTAAAGGTTACCGTTGCGAGGACCACAACAACCCACCAGACTTTTTCTTGGATATTTTGCATGGAGAAATAAAACCAGCAGACTCTACTAGAGACAGTAAGTCATACTATAGCTTTCTTCCTTGTCAATCACGTGAGCCATCAGAACTCTACAGATGTGGCGCATTTGCCTTTTTAATCTTACTATTACACTTCCCACAGATCAGGGTCTTTTGTAACTCGCAAATTGTCTACTGAACTTAGTCTGAAAGTTCATAGTCATTTGGTATTCATTTAAAAGGGAGTGTATGATGCTAATTAGCAAGAAAGTAATTTCATTTCTGAACATTAGGTTATAATTGTTTCAAAACATTTGTCCCTGGTGTGCTGTTTTCTATTTGGTTTTTGATAGATGTCACATTTTGAGGCACATTGCATGTAGTTTTGTTTGCAGTTGTTGGTTTGAGGCCACGTTTGAGACGCCATCCAAAAAGAAATCGTCTCGACCTATTTCATGTCTGAAAATTCAATCAACGCAATGCTTGATTGGCTCTGAAGAACAAATGGTGTCAGTTTGGTAGGACTCAAAATGTAATGCGCACTTCGAGGTGCTTCCAGTGAACTAGACTGTCAATTTCAGAAGTTTACTATTAACAAATTACAAAGCAATCAGAGAAATACGACAAGCATGGGCGAATTGCAAAGAAGTAGTGCTCAAACAAAACAACACAAGTCTCCGTACGCACACACACACACACACACTGTTGGTATCTCGTGGAGCCTGATTGGGAAGTGACGTCAGTTCTCTCATGTGACCTTGACCTTGCACAACCGGATTACCATTGGTAAAACACGCACTAATGTCGGTGACGTGTAATAGAATTTGGTTCAAGTTTTTCCTGACAAGGTTCCGAATTTCCACAAAAGCGGACTCGTGGAGATGTCAAGAAAGTAAGTGGTAGAAGGTTGTCGGAAGTGAAGGGATGAGTGCTTTTAAGATTGCCAAATATCTACGCCATATTGTACAGTGCCAACTCGATTTTGTCGTTTTGCCAGTCTACAATCAAAGGTATTACAAAGGTGGGGAGCAACATAAGATCCCCAGTCAGAAAATTATTTCAAATTTAACGGACATCCTAGGAACTAAATTTTTGTCCTGAATTTAAACGCTCTCTAATAGTGACAATGTTGTTCTTTAGGCAATCCTTTGGTTACATCTTTGGTCCATATTTCCTAAAAATAGGCAATTATGCTTTTTACATGCAGATTGCACAAATGACACTTTGTCCTGTGGGAGCTTTGGTAGGTGCCGGGGCCACTCTGGTCTTTTATTTGCACTATTTGAACGCACTTGATTAATGCTATGGCACAACTGAAGATTTTATCGCGTTTTTGCTCCCTGTTGCCCTGAGCATCGGTGTGCCCCTTTTTAGTTCGCTTTTGTCATGCTCTCTTATTTTATGCAGTTGCCATGCAATGCAAACACGCAAACCGCTTGACGCTGGATTTATTTATTTTTTGGCTTTTTTAACTGAGTTTTATTTTTTGAAAACAACGTCTTGCGTATTTTGAGACACTGCCGATTCCAATTAAGCGAATTTGTCGGTTTTAAGGTAATAACCGCCTGTCCTCGGCTCTTTGTGTGAAAGTAACACCCACTTAGAGAGTTCTACAATACCCAAAAAGCATCAAGCGGTGCTGATCCCGGAAGATGTAGAAGTATGCGTAACCTAAAATAATTCGAAATCCTTACATCCGCAACTTTTACTGTATGAGGCCTTTTATTGGCATGTCATGCCTTTTTGCAAGCACGCTTCGTCCAATTCTCCTCAGCTTTAACTGGAGTGGTTTTAATTTGCGGAATTATTTTGTTACGAAACACGTTTAAATGCATGCTCCGATATCCCGTCGTGCACGAATCATAACATGTAAAAGACTTGTACTTTCGATTCCAGCTGTTAGTCCTTATCAGCCAAGCACTTACTGCGGACACCGTTCCCATAGGCAAATCATTTTTGTCTCTCAAGTCAATTTTATTTAAGGGAATTCACCTTGTCTAATGGAATCCTACCTCGTGAAAGTTGCTTACCTACGTGACTGAAGTAACATTTTGTGGTTGAATGGGATGTTAATGCGGACTGTCATCTGTTTCGATTGTGTCCGTGAGTTTTGCCCACTTGTGAGGTCTGAGTAACGGCTTCATCTCGATTCATCTTCCTAAGGAGCAGTCTTAGGGAACAACTATCGACATGAATTGTCCGAGACTTGCATTGTTGTTGCATTGTTATTGTACTGTAAATTTGACACCCAACAGGTCAAATGGGATAAAGTCCAGTACATTAATTTTTTTCAAAACGGAGCCTGGAAACTACTTTGCGGCAGTTGGACTATTTGCTGACTTACTCATTTATGACTTATTTTTTGGTTCATCATCCTAATATACTTTACTTTTGCTTTAATTATCATTTAGTCAACATCAGTCGACTGCTTGTTGGACTCTAAACGGATTTCCATGGCTTAGTGGTTTAGCCATCAGTCCTGGACATTCAATTTTTGACGTTTGTATCTCCATAGACTCTAAAGTACATTTTAGCTCCTGTTCAAATTTAGGTATTATTTAGGATAAGTATTACAGGACCATAAATTGGTTTCTACAATTTTATCCCTAAATCGAATTTAATTACGTGCGCATATTGAGAGGCCCTCGTTCTTTCAACAAATTTAGACCCTCCTTGTGATGTTTTATTAAAAATAATGATATACTGCTTTTGGTGGTTGTCCATTTACGCATTACTTCTCTTATGGCTTCCCATTCATCATGAGTTTTACGCTTAGGCCTTCTCCCATTCAGTGGTTTCTTGCAAATCACTGAGTCGCCATTCTTGTTTGTTTCGGCTACCTCATCATTGTAACTACCCATATTTTAGAGGGAGATGAATTTGACGCACAAAGTGATGACTCATTTGAGCGCATGCGAATAGTCTCTGAGAGGCTCGTCAGTTTGTGGACTGACTCTACAGAGTGTCAAAAGTAAGTCTACTTTGCCTAATTCATCTCGCTTTTTATTATTCTGCTCTAATGCCTGCCTAATTAGTAGTTTAATCGGTCGTCACTGTGTATCTGCGATAGGAGTCAGCTTCCGTCATGGTTTCGTATTGCTGTCTACTGCTAATCATTACCGATGATGTCAACTCCATCATTCAAAAGACCAAGCATTCTCCTCTTTAACCATGCAACTGACCAACAAAATGTGGGATGTTCTTCACCAGTCAACGGGGGCGACATGCCATTCACCAAGTTGAGGTGCACTTCGGCTGGTTCCCACCACAAGACAATGTTTGTGATTTTGAAATTCTACAGTCCTTGAGCCAACTGGTAGGGAGAAAACTTTGCGGACGACGTCCTTGGAGGCGTCTTCATTGCATGTTGGATCCTAGAAGTGACTGGGTTAGCTCACTTGTCTGAAGGAGGGTATTTAATGAGTGAAACGATGCGTTGAGCTCATCTGCCACATTGCCGTCGGCTATAGCCACGTTAAAGTTCAATTTCTTTGCGGTGAGGGGTCATGATTACACATCTATAAATAAGCGGCTTCAACCTCCCGCTTTTTCGAAACACCAACCGGAGATTGTATCCTTGTCACCAATATTTCGGGATTAGATTTTCCGTCGCAACTCCCAGAAGCCATTCCCGGGATAGACGTTGTGTCGCCGTTCAATTTGTTGGAATTTCTACTGACGTCTTTTGCCTGATGTCATGCAGCACAAACCTCCATGCCTTGCTGTTAAGTTTTTGCTCTTAACCAAAACGCACGCTCAGAGCACCAGTACACAGTCACTTGTCCATTATTTTCCTTCACCGCTCCACATCCATGCTGTTTCATCTATGTCCAAGTTGATATTTCTATTTAATGTTGAACTCGTGGTAAGATTAAATAATTTGACAAGTTATTTGGCAACATAGCACCTGGACTTATCAACAAAGGGATTTCCTGTTGTCTCCTTTTGTGAAAATATTCTCCAAATATATTCACACAGAAACAGACCAAAATTTCGAATAATCTTTTTTACTTGTTTAACTGGAGCATAAGTGTTTTGCTTAAAGACCGAAACGTCTCATTTGGAGAAGGCTATCATTTTCTTGTTGAACTATGCCTGAACCTTATTTGTCCCGTGCTTGAGGGCCATCACTTAGATTATTTTCGTGCTTTCAGCATCAGAAACGAAGTCCTGGCCGTCGCCAACCGCTCATCAAACGCTACAAATTACTCCAACCCACCAGACGGTATTGGCTATGCGGCCTCTTTCCCCCTCCAGCTATTAATAGTTTGTTGGCGGACCTTCATTGGTCTTCTGCGTGACCCACAGGCCTCCATTGTGCAGACCTTAGTTTACCTCTTCTTTGCCATCTCAATGGGTGTGGTCTACTTCGGCCTGGACACCTCGTTAGAGTCAGGTCTTCAGAATCGTTCCGGTCTCTTCTTCTTTGCAACATTACAAGTGGTATTTGTCAATATCGGTTCAATTGAACTGTTTCTCAAAGAAAGGGCGTTATTTATGTAAGTATAAGTAGTTATGACAAATTGTCTAATCATGAAATGCCACTTTTGGTCCATTCGTTCTGTCAAACAAGATAGTTAACAAGTGCCATTACCAATTTTTTTAGTCTTCAAAAATTGTCTTGATTACGTTTTAAGGCATTACGTGGACGTTGAAACAAAATGGACATAGGAAAAAACTTCCTCAAAAATGTACCAACAGATTTGTTCGTTTAAACACTGAACTTGATCCGCCTTCATTGTGCAGACAATAGTGCAAGGCTGTACTACCAATTTAACCAAGCTTCATTGCTCTGTGGGTAATAAGTGGACCTTTTCCTTCCTCATTCTCTCGATACCATGTCACTAAACGTCAGTTTAATTGTTGAGACTTTGGTTAAAACATGTACGAAATAACATAGGCTTTGGGTTTAAACTTAACTAGCTTATTGTTTGATTGTGGCCGTATCGAAATATCGATGTTTCTATCAGGATTGTCGCTTTTTTTCAAAATTTCAGACACGAACACTCGAGTGGCTACTACCGGGTGTGTGCGTACTTCTTGGCGAAGCTTATTTGCGATGTTTTCCCCACAAAGGCTTTACCAGTGTTTTTTTTCATGCCCATAACGTATTGGATGGCTGGGTTGGTGCCTCAAGTGGGAAATTTCTTCTTCTTCGAGCTCATCCTCACACTGGGTACGATTTCAGCATCGGCTGCTGCCATGGCTGTATCTGCCAGTGTGACGCTTTTCAGTATCGCCAATGTTATTATATCCATCCTCTTCGTCTTTATGATGGTAGGTTGTGTTTATTTTCTGCTTCGAGTCTTCTCATACCTTAAAATGAAAAATCTTGCTCGCGCTACCAGAGAGTTGGATAGCCTAAACCACAGCTTCTCCCAATGTCATAAGCTTTGATTAGTTGTCACAAAGATTAGAGTAATATATTGACTAAGGCTTCTATAATTTCAGCTTTTCTATTTGTTTTTGCAGGTGTTTGGTGGTTTCCTGATAAACCTAAACAGCATGCCCCCTTGGCTCAGTTGGTTACGATATTTTTCAATCTTTCACTACACCTTCGGTGGGCTCCTTGTTAACGAATTAACAAATCTCGAATTCTGCCCGACAGCCAACAAGACGTCACCAACATTCAATGACACACGAAAGTGGTAAGTTCTTGGACTTTGAGCTTAACTTTGGGTTTAGTACAAGCGGGGTTTTGAATTAATAAGTCACTGATAGATAAAGCCTATGATGGTAAGCGCCAGTTTCATGAATCAGCTTGTTCAGCACTCGACATTACCTTTTTCCTAAATTACTTTAAAAAAAATGGGACTTATTTTAAGCACACTAGGTAGCGTAGGTGAGTGTCACACTGGCTGGGCCTCAGATTTAAGGTAACTTCACTTGACTGAACCGCCTATAAGCACCTTACATTCAAGTCTAAACGCGTTATTGTGTTCAGTTTTGTCTATGATACCAAACGATATTGTTTTAATTGTGGCTAGCAGAAAAGAGAAGCAGATTGCGGTGATAACCTTTCTTTTGACAGTGGGTGTGTCTGGTGCCAATATTTGCTGAAGACGCCACATTATTGCATTTTTCTGTCTCAAACAATGCTTCAAAATTGGGTCAAGAGAAAAGGCTCGCTTGCTCACGCCAGCGGTTGGTAAAACTTTCGAGCTTGCATCAGAACTTGGGATATGTATATATAACTAATTCCTCGCGAATTAGCCGAAATAGGCCTCGACAGCTATGGGTTTTGCAGTAATGCAGGTCGTGGCTGAGGAAACAAGGCAAATAGCCAGTAGAAAGCATCTCAATGGTAATGGTCTCAATTGTTAATCGCAGAAATGTTCGTGAGTAAACCATATACTCCCGATAATTGGGGAAGCGGAGGAAGTTGCGCCTTCATGGTTAGTAGTTCAGCCAAAAGTTGTTACCACCAGTAACGGATAACAAAAACACACAACAGGTGAAAAAGTAGAGACAGGATGTCTTTCTCCCTTTATTTATTTGATAAATTGAGCCATACGCAAAAACAGGAACTTTAAGTAAATGACGTTTTTCGTAGTTAGATTCAATTTACCCAATGCTCACCGTTTAGGCAATGCGTTTTTCGCGATTGTTAAGGCAAGGAGGGGAGTGGTGTATTGGAATTTAGTTTTTGGATAAGTGCTACAAAACAGGTACCAACGTTTCATGGAAATAGTATGACTGTCTTCTCCAAACCCACCTTGGAAATCTTAATAATACTGAACCCACTGACCTAAATTTTGACAAGGTAACCATCACCACCATCTGTATAAACCCAGTTCAATGGGTCAAGATGCTTAAACATGCAACAGAGATGTTATGGCGTCCGTCCATTGGTACTGCCCCTGTCCTCGATAACGGTCCCCACAACCCTCGTTTTTATTGACTCATGGTTCTAGAAATTTCTCAAAAAGTGGTAAACATGAATCAATTTGTGCTTTTCAGTCGAGGTTTATGTTTAGGTGGCAGAATTTCTAGACCATCATGTAATAAATTTGTTTGTTTACGATATCAAGTAGGCGAATAGATCGACATCATTTGCACAGCACATAAACTGACCGCCAAAACTCATTAACACCCTTGGGCATTTTTAGAGGTCGTTGTGGAAAATATTCTGTGCTCAAAGTGTGAGTACTTCTCAACGGGGAGAATATTAATTTGATTACCGTTTTCTTTACAAAATTGCTTAAATTCTTGATTACAGATTTTCGAGTTGGAACGCTTCAAATAAACTCACATGCGAAATTGTACATATTTAAAATAAGCTATTTCCCAAGTGTTGCGATTGCAAGTCGTAACACGTTAGCTGGATCGTAGGTCTTAAAATTCGCTTTCTAGCAAGTGAAAACCGGTTATGTAGCTATTTTGGAGGCTGTTGATTCTTTATCAATCCAATGACGAAACCAGCAGAAGTAGCCACCTTTCCTCTACTTAAAACTAGTTACAATACCCTGTTTTATGAAAATAATATTGAGGTTATTCCACAAGTGTAAATGGAGACAATTTCCCTCGTTTACCTGAAGGGTGCAAACATAAGCTCACCGAATTTTAATCCCTGGTGAATTTATTTCTAGCCTACTGGGATCAAGGTCTGATTTCGAGGTGATCACCTACCGCCGTAAATAATGTCTCGAAATATGCCATTCATCTGCACTCAACGAATGTTCTCTGAAGACCCCTTATTGGGGACCTAGTCTTTAAATCGTCAATAGACTAATGTCAATGCTCTTGGTGCAGTTCACACAACATCTTTCTACTTGTGTATAGTGAACTTGGACGACTCTATCTTGACAACTACGGTTATGCCAGTCAAACAACCTGGGACATGTGGTCTAACGTCGTGGGTCTAAGCGGTATCGCAATCGTCTGTTTCATACTCTGCTACTGCCTCTTGCGCCGAATCAACACATTCAAGTGAGAGTTGGTCAACTCCGTGATCCTATTTTCATACTGAGCACCATTCCTCAAATTCTTTTTATATAAACGGATCGTTACCAAACACGACCCAATTGTATTGCTCCGGTGAAGCATTTTCTTAACTCCCAATACACTTTGTGTACATAAATAGATTGCAGTTAATCTTGTATGTTTATCGCATAAAACACGGTAGTTATATTTTAAAAATTGTCAATGACTGGAGAATCACTTATAAATTCTGTGAGCCTCTCAAAGATTTGGTAGGAAATAATGACTACAATCATGGAAGTTGTGTATTTGAGACCCTCGATAAACCTCTGAGAAAATCATCCCAAGTTGTTATTTGTGAAGGATGTATCAGAGCATACGCATAAGGAGCACAAACAAACATGCTTTATCGCCATCCACGCAAAACCCAAAAATGTCCCTAAGGCCACGTGGTTTCCTTTCCGAAGGCAGACAAATGTACTTGAATGCTAAACGGCTCCAATTTGTGATCTAATAATGACATTAAAGCCGGTGTTCCCTTGTTTTTAAAATCACGCTTGATAAAGCGTTGTGTCTTCGCTGCATTCGTGGTATGCTACACAATAGCCTAGGAACGCTCCAACGTATTTGTCAATATCGCTTGTCTTAGCACTTCAGTAATCGTCAGTGGGAGCCTCCGCATTTACGTCAATCCAGCAACGTTCACGCCTAACCTCCATACGACCTAACAATCACAATTGCATATAATACTTATTGTTTACTCAGGCTGTGGTCATCCATACGCTCAATTATTACATGTCTGCTAGTTTAGAATCTGAACAAAGTATGCGCAACCACGTAGGAAAACATCAATAATCAGAGGAAGGCGTAATCATACCAACACACCCCTACCGTTTTATCGAAAGGAATGCTATGAATCGAGACATGGTGACGTTCCCACACAAACCTGAGGACTCCGCCAAAGCTAAAAACCAAGACTGGATTTGTACCACTACCCACATCGATGTTCAGGCCGTTATCCATATGGATTTGTGGATATTCGTAAACCTAGGGAAATTTGTGCGTTATTTACAGAAATTGACGATAGCGAAGTGTAGGTGCATTTTGCATCAAAAACCGGTTTTAGGGCAGAACCGTTGTACTGGTTTTCATCAGTCTGATTAACTTTCTAAGTCCTTCAAAATGAATGCCGCAACACGACCAACATAGTTTCTCCATTAGAATACCAAATATTCTTGAATTAGTAAGCAAAATTTGTTACGATGTATGATTTGTACAGCCAGGGATAAATGCACAAATTATTCCCCCTCATTGACAAGCATATTAGGAATCCCATTGTGGATGGGAAATTCGCGGCCTGTCTCAGGGCAAATGAGCGAGCCTTCAATTACATCCAACTCCAATAGAGCTTTATGGACCTGACGCAAAAACTCTTCATTCTCTTCGTATCCCTCGGGTATGATTTCAGGAAGTTTTCCCACGTGGTCAGCTCCGACCTGCAAAGAAAACGATAAACAACATAAGTTCCTGGCCACAAAACTTGCAATGAGGGTTACCTGTTTAGTAAAAATCAGACGGTACGAAAACTTGAACGCAATGTAAAGGGTTGTTATCGAGGCGTAGTCAAAAGTGATATTCGTGGCGAAATGATATGTCGTACCGTGAGTACAACTACATTCATTAGAAAAACAGGCGTGCAAAAGGCGTTGCTGATAAAATTGGTGATAAAGGGATTTACTCAACCAGAATCTTTAAGGAAGTGGTTTTGGTGAAGGAAAACGCGGACGAAGAAAAATTGTAAAATCAGACTTACTTGCTCTACTGCCGATTTAAGAACCGACCATTCAATCTTGGGAATGAAGCGAGCCGTTTGAGCAGCTTCAAAGTCAGCTGGAGTTACTTCTACTTTGACTGCCTAGGCATGAATGAGATTTGAAAGGTAGCTTACTTTTATGGCTAAGGGATAACCCACCTTAACTGATTTGAGAACACGAGACGTGAGTATATTGTGAGTGAACAAACGCATTCTTCCTAAAATTGACAAGAAAGTGAGGGATGATTGACATAACTGAAAGTACAAAAGGGAAAACTAGGCATTGCCACCAGACAAGTAACTTGAGTCCACACAATAATAGTATCTAACAGCAATTTGCGATGTATGGAATATGCATTTGGTAATGCTTAGCTACTAATCCAGGCTTCAAAGTGGATATGAATACAATAACATAAAAATATGTTTTTATGTACAAGTTAAAATCACAATAAGATGTCCAAGACATGTGCGTAGTATTTAACGACAAAGCAGGAGACAAAGGATTTTAGGTAAGCATCTTTTTTCATAGTACTCAATTCGCAGACACGATAAGACTGTTCTCAATTCGACGCCGTCAACTCTACAACCACACATTTTAATAAATGAGAAATATGGGTTTGAGCACCAAATACGTAGTAGAATCCATGACATTAGGGCTAACACGAAGGGGCCTCCGTTACTGGTCATTAACGGGAGACGCAGCATTTACAAATAAGGGGTTATTAAACAGGACGAGCGCACAAAGTTTACAGAGACCCATATCTATCAATGAAAAGATCAAAGAATAATATACAATATTAGGCGATTTTATTGCCCGAACATGTGAAGACAACGTATTCGAGCAATTTAGCGTAAAAAGCAAACGAGAGAAGCACGCGAAAACAAACACACCAGCGGTTGCGTAACACACGATTTACAGAATGTGCGCCAATGAAATTGAAAAATACAAATGAGAATTCTAAACAGGAAAGTCGAATATTGGCTTGCATGAAGTCCTCTAACTTGATATATTTTAATATCCTTATTTATAACACTGATTCCTTGGCAGTGAAGCAGCACAGCCTAAGAACTAATCTTCTAATTTCAGTGAATTTTTCACAATATTATATTTTATTTGTATGATAAAAGAGATTTGTATCAACAAATTTTCGACATGTGCAGAATAAAACTGATTTTTTAAATGAGTGGTCTAAAATGTAATATATCAGGTTTGTAGGAATATATTACATTTCGACATAATGCTTATTTAAAATTAAGAAAACGTTGCGAAGAAAATATTTATTCGGAATATAACGTCTGTCTTAATTGGTATAAACTATTTTCTGGGATATTTGGAAATAAAACACAATTCGAACCTTTAAAATCAATACTATCTATCCACGTATGGCATAAACCTCAACATTTTTTGGAATGGAATACGAATTTTAAGAGGTATGGTGCTACATGAATATGATGTTCTTTGTCCTACCCAACAAATGGTGAACTCGCGCATTCATTCGCCTGGTTGGATGTTGTGTTCAAATTTGCATAGTTCATTTGCAAAAGACTTGTTATTTTTATCTAGAATTGGCAGTTATTGGCACCCTTAGCACATAATTCAGTGAAATACTGTACAAGATATTGCGTTTACTATACGCATCGTTGCCATGGCTCTCCTTTCTGTCGATTTACGCGTTGATGATTTATAATTTTAAATAACCTAAAACAGGGGGATTCGCTTGAACGATTCATGATTCATCGTCATATTAAATAAGAAATACAGAAACCGCGTGCCCCCATACATTACACCAAGCAATGACAGAACCTCGCAAAAGGGATATTTTAAAATGGGATTACTGAAAGTTAAATGTATGGCTTGAAATTGAAAGCAAATGATGATTTTGTAATAATTATGATTATTAGTAAAATCGGAAAATTAAAAGAAGTACTACCCACGGCATTAAAAGAAATATTTGGCATAACATTTTACTGAAGAGGATGGACTATTATAAATTTTAATTTGTGCGGACTTCACTAAAGATAGTTAGTAATGAACTATGACCAAGTTAAGGAAACTGCTCTATTACTTCTGTTTCTTTGACGCCTCCTACAATTAACCAAATAAATATCTTTTTTGTAATGAGGCACAATGCGAATAGTTGTTTCCTGTGTACTCCCCACTCATGATATCTGGCTTTGGATTAGTCAGATATAAGGTGAAATTTCGTTGACTTCAGACGAAGGCGTAAGGCTGGTGTCTGTTAATCACCCATGCCTTTCATAAGTCTCTTTTTCACAAACATTATAGAACACTCTGCACACATTCATACAGGGACACATCATATCTTGCAGGGGGTCGATGTCTATAGATTCCTGTCGCCTTTACACAATCTATTTTAAATAATTGAAAATTGTGCGCCTGCGACATTATTGGCAGAGAATTTCAATCAATGCTACACGAATCTCTAGTCATTCCCATGACTATGCAGTTCGCCATTACAAGTTAATGTGGAATCCCCCCCTTGTCACATTAAATTCATCTTTTTGCTACGACTCAATGCGTGCATGGACTTACAAGTGTGGTGAAAAGCAGCAAAAATCAACTTGTGAATAAAAGATTGACTCTCTAATTCTTCATGAGTTCCACTTGCTGTTGCATACTGCAACATCATTTGAATGATGTTAACGGTCCCCAAGTGAGCAAAGATGACAAACTTTTCTGCTTAAATTTGATCGACGTCGGTTTTTAAAAATAATTGCTTTCAATTAATAGCCTAATCTAGGTGACATATTTTTTAGAAGACTAGGTTTATGACAAGCTCATCAAGAGCTGATTGTTGATGCAGTCCCTCATCACGCCCTTTCCTCGAGACTGAATTGTGCACACGAGTCTCATTTATCGTTTTGATTTTTTTTATATTAATGAATAAATCGACTTACGTTTTGACAACTTTTTGAAACCCAATTTTCTTGCCACAGTCCGTCGATCTCTCAACCTACATGTAAAGGACTTATTGCAATTTTGTACCACTATTATGTTGATCAATTTGGTTTTTTAGAAAATTTTCAAAAGATAAACATGTAACAAACATATTATTTGATTGATTGGGCTGCAAGTATCTAAATAAGGGGATGCAAAGTAATATTTTGATCAGTATATCATAAATAACATGAAGGCTTGAAACAAAGTCCTTACAGGCGGGTAATTTAAGATATGCACGATTTATGGAATCTAACAGTATTAAAGAAGATAAGAAAGGCAAAACTTGGAAAGATCCCCATTAGTTTCATAAAAGATTAGTTGGATAGTCGGTGGAAGCTCTTTGTAATTCAATACGTCCTTCATTGCTAACTGCATTCTTGACACACTCTACAATAAATTCGCACGGTTGGGTATTGAACTGCTGAGCGAAAAGATGGCAGATAAGGATTCCAGATGTGTCGGAGGCACGTATGACAAGGCCAAAAATTCTAAAAAAAGGTTAATTTATATTACAACTCAGTGGTATAAATTAATTACAATTCACATGTGTATTTTTCAAAGTCTTTTCAAGTTTGTTTTGTTTAATTCTTGTTTGTATTAAATGGGTTTCTCGAAGTTGGCGTGCATTTGAAATTACCATAATGCCGCTTGGATACTTTAATTTAGGAATGTTGCTTCTAAAATTCAGAATTATGGTTCAGTGATAAATTTTCGGCCTAGAGCAGCCTTTTGTTTACAAAAGGTTAGTAGAAACTGGAATTAAAGATAGAACATAAAACAATTTATTGAATGACGAAAAGAGGCATTGTTTATAAAAAGGCATCAGTTTATACATGATTACCTAACATTCATCCATGAAAGGAAAATAGCCATGTGAACTGTTTTAAAGTAAATCGATTGAACCCGTGTTTGCTCACCATTGTTGTTCGCTCGCTAATAGCCACATAATTAATATTATTGCTTTATTTTGCCATCTAATGTCTATTCAATGCTTCTAATTAAATGACTAGAAACCAAACTATTGCTATGGCATTTTCGCGGTTCGCACACTGAAAAATCAATTTCCTGCTCTAAAAAATCGACTGCTGTGCGAAATACTCAAATAAGTTAGACAATGCAGTTTGTTTATTTGTGTCTCGACGATCGTAAGCATAGGAGTTTCAAAAAACCTCGATTGTGACTAACAATGATTCATTTTAGACACTTATGTAGACGTCACGTTTGAACATGAAATCCATTAATGGGTAAAGTAAATACTGCGTCACAATTCGTAGCCAGACTTAAGCAAACATAAATAAACCAACTTTGTGATTAGGATTTTTCGGTGCAAACAACATTCTTTTCTGATTTCATAGATTGAAGCTCACCCAGGGCTACTTTCCAGTTCCAAACTTCTTCGGATGTAACAATGCCTTGATGTACTTTTGCCCGTAACAGTTTCGACACTATGGGTCTTCATATAAGAACTCACTGTGGGTCTTTTGTTTGTTCTTAATCTCCTGCAGCTCTCGGTGAACCTATTTGCAATTTTAAATCTGGTAGCAAAAATATAGGCCATTCAAGTTCTCTGCATCTAGCCCAACACACAAAGCACTTTTTTGGAGCAGACCAGCCTATTTAGTCGGAGTCTATCGAAGACCAATCCTACTTAAAGTAAGATGCCCGGCTAAATGTCTATATTTCGATTAATATGATGAAGTGAAAACTGGTTTATTGATAACTCGCTGAACAAAAAACTTTGCTTCTAACATTGAATCAGTACGCAGATACGAATCGGGCAAGAAATGGATGAAATTCTGATGTAAAGACGATTTAAAGGTCATGTCAGCTTGGTTTTCGCCTTTTTTAAAATACGCTTTGTCTTACATTTATTTTACGTGCGGCATTCGTCGCGGTGTTGTCATGATGTGCCCTAGCTCTAATAGATAATATCTAAGGTAAGAAAAGAGGTCTGTCCATTGTGCTTTATTCGATATTTATGCTGCCAAAAATTATTGATTTGTTTGGTACACTTTGTGAAATCTCACACCGGGGATGATCTTGTGACATTTTGGTATGAATTAGCAAAACAGATAATCAAAAGTTAGATCATGGTGAAATATAACTTGCACTTTTAATCCACCCATTTTTTTTTATTTAGCACAAGGTGTGTGTACAACAAAAACACACTGGCCTTTTGCTAAAAAAAAGTGAGATGCTTGCTTCCAACGGTGTACATGCATTAAATATAGTTCATTGCTTACGATGTGACGCGTGGGACGAAACTCTGTTATTATAACAGGCATTAAGGTCTGAGTAGAAATAAGTTATGGAAGGGCAATTTAAAATATTTTTCCTAAGCTATATTTTGGAAAATTAGGAATCAGACATTTCTAGTTACAAAGCTGAGAAAAAAGGAGTTATCCTTAGGTTGTTTGAAAAAAACAGGCCTCGGTATTTTGACTGTGCGTATAGACACAAAAAAGTGGCCACTTTTCATTTTTCCCATAAGTCTTGAAAAGTTTGACTAAACTAGTGTGCTGAATTCTATTATAGTCCTAGGGATTAAAGGCAACAAACTGACACTCTGACAACAATAACCATGGGCGAAGTTTATAAATTACTGATCGTTGGAACATAAAATACATGTGAAAAAGATCGTTTTTGGTTGATCCCAGATTAGTTTGCTAGAGGTTAGCACTTTATCTCGGCTCACTGATGAGTGGTGGGTGTAGGTGCTATAAGGATTCCTTTTACTACATCATGTTTATTGAGCTGAGTCCTGAATGCCATTTACTGATGAATAGTGAGTTGTTCCGAAGAATGATTTTTTGATTTAAGGTCAATATCTAATGTACTAACTTTTACCCAAACATTTTATTCACACACTACCTTTTACATAACCCTATCTGCACTAAAATGAAATAACTAATACGTCCTTTTGATCGATTATTCCCCTACGACGTCCTCACCTCTGTGGGTTGCTTTATCGTTTAAAACAGATTTATTCCAATAAACTAATTCCACAGGACTTTTAGATGAGTTTATAAAATCCCCTTTTCAGGTTTTTCAAGTTTAGTGCCATGATAAGATCGACTAGAAACTAAAGTGCTACCACATGTTGACTTACCATACCATATCTAGTCATTACATTTCAAAAACGATCATGAAAGCGCAAAGATTTGCGCACATGGAACCGGGCTCAGACAATATTGAGCTCGGTGCATTAATAAAAAGGTATGGAGATTAGATGCTATTTCATCAAGTTCGCTTACTCTTAACATTTTGTGTGTTCTCAGTAGTAATTGATAACAAACATTTCAAAATATAGTCGCCATCTTAACAGATCAAACTCTAAGATTTAGTGTCAGTTAGCAAGCATGGAACAAACGAATCATCATCATTTACTGCTGCAACTAGTTACATTCTTTTAAATTCCCATTATAAATTCTGCATAAAATGCTACTTACTTTCGCCCTTTAGGATTCAAATTTTCTGCTCTGTTCTCCATCAATCTAAAGGCAACCAATAGAACAGTAAGTACCTTGTGGAACGATTGGAGTACAGTTAGTGGCACATTGCTACAGCTTTGGCATTAATATGTCAGACTAAGAAGCAAGGAAAACAAACACTAAATTAATCTATTTTACCACAGGTCTTGAGAACTACGGCGCAGCGCTGTAAGCATAATCGTTTGTATTTTGAATGCAAAATGCGTTTTTGCATGAGCACCTATGAAGTGTTTAACACCACCAAATTTTAACTGCATTTAAATCCCTTGTAGATATGAAACTTATAAAAAATGAGCAGACCATTTCATGGTTTTACGCACACAGCTCATTCAAATAAAATGGTAATTGTGGCTTAATAATTTTTAGATAATAGTTCACAACAAATCATAACGGCACAAGTCAGTAAAAGTTCTCAAAGGGCTTTTGTTTGAATATTTGCCTACTAACAAAATTATTTTAGGGAATTTTCGGCTAGGTGCAAAATTCGTTAATTGATTTTGATGCAGTAAGTGGGACGCCAACCGACTCGGAATACCCTGCACTCATCAAAGAAGCTAGATTTGTTTTTATCGTAAAGCATTTTGGTAAAATAACGCAGTTGATCCATTAAGTTCTGCATGCAGACATTGTTTTTTCTAAAACCCCAAAATAATAGGTCTCTCCCTAGAATCGCTATCATTTGAAAAACTGATAATTTAGGTAATCAGATTTACTTCCTGCCGTAGGGGTCTGCGCCAACGTAAACTACTGATTCACGACTGAGGTGTCGTCGAATAAATTGCCGGCAGTGGAGGTCGGTGAGTGTCACGCCCTCTGGGCTGACTCGAAATGCAACTAAGATGGGACGTAGGCGGGAATTTTGAGTACGAAAGAGGATGTCCATGGCCGAGCTAATGGCATTGCTTCCGACCGACGAAAAAACTTCAAACGTACCCAGGTAGAGGACCTGGAAATCTGGAGGACAAAATTACACATTGCATTACGGAATGACGATGTGTAGCTTCATGGTTCGTTAGTTTTGCTTCAACGAGAATAAACTTAAGTCTGACAAGAGCATTGTGAGGCAATTTAATTAGTTGATGTTCGGATTTGCCCTAAAACCCGAAATATTACTCAATGGGTCAGATGTACATCCAGACATAGTTCATACACTTGATAGGGCAAGTCACCTCAAATTCCCAAATAGGTGTATCTGCGTTTTCAAGGCCGGATTGGAAATTATTACTTTTGTCTGAGACGCAGGAGTCACTCGTTTATGGATAAATTGGAGGATGAAGAGTCCAGAATTAGCTTTTGAGCAGCTTATTTGCATAAATCTGAACTGACTATAATTTACCTTCCCTAAAATATCTGAAAAAAAGTATTGTCCCAAAAATGGGTTCTTGGTGAACTCGATCCCTCCTCACTCAGACTTGAACTTGTGTGTCTGCCATTTCACCGTATGATAAGCATTTTGACAGTAAACTTATTTGAAGATCCACAAACACCACTTTGCCAAAATTGGTAGAAATAAGTGAGCAATTCCCTGATAAAACTGGTCCTTATATAAATGATGACTCTGTTGTGAATCGTGTTTATTCAGCCCATTAATCCGGTCGCTCCACCTCCTACACAGAATTCCCCTTGTCGCAGCATGTCGCCAGCCGCGCGAATTCTCAACTCCCCCTTCATTAGCACGAATATTTATCTTGGAGCATCTCCACACGTAGGTCCCGTAGTTAGCACATGTATGACTCACACATCCGAGCTATAAATACACACGCGCAAACACCACATACGACAGAACGACACCAGTTTTGGTTGAGCTCTGAAATAAACTATTGTGCCCCGTCCTCTCCGGTCTCTTTCTTCATCGCGGGTATCAGGCAAGCGTAATTTGGCCAGGGTTAATTCAAGGCCACGTGCTGGGGCCCACAACAACTCTCTCAGAATGCTGGGGTCAGAGGGTTTATCAACAATTCTTTATCCTATAACGGTTTGTGCTCGCCTCGTTTTTGACCTCCAATTCCCAGAAACCCGTTAATTGCCTTTAGTGCAACCACTGTGGTTTCTCTTGTGTAAAACTCACACAAAATAAATCTGAATAGCGAAATCGGATACTAATAGTGGTCTGTTTTTTAATTCAAGAATGCCATTATTACGATCTGGTAGCACTGCATATGAATTTGTTTAGAGGTAAAGTCGGGGATCCTCCTTTAAAGACCTGTCGAATAGAGGCAGCGCTTTTCCCTTATTAGTATCACAACATTTCCACTAGGACATACTAGGTTATGAAAAACTTTCGTTTTAATAAACAAATAAGTGATCACCAAATAGGATACAATTTCCAAGTTATAGACCTATAATGCTTTTTGAAGTCGTACGCAATGCACTCAAAAAAGGTGCAAGTGCATTTTTCTAACTTGCGGATTCCTTGAAAATCGAAACGATGATCATGATTACACTGGTTAAATCGGCGGACATTTAACGGCTAAATGTATTATTTTAGGCCAAAAATTAAATGAATATACCTTTTCGTTGCATGTGCAGATCACCCAAAGAAAGCATTTCGAGTCGCTTACATGATCGCACCTTTTCGAAATTGCATGCTATAATGAAGACCTTTACAAAGTGTTAGTAGTCTTCTACTATGCCAGCGAATTAACCTGAGTTCTACGATGATTAACTCATGGACCTCCATTGTTGATCTGACCTCGGATCTTTATGTGTCCATTAACGAAAAACCTACTATTGGCCTTCAGTTTTATTTATGTGAACGAACGCTAACTTGATCAAGACTGCACCAGAATCCGTGTGGGTAAATGTTGGTCTCTGGCTCCATGTTCTCGTTTTTTTTCTAAAATGGATGTCAGCGCGTACCGAAGATTTTGTCATCTTTGTACTTTGTGGGCGGTAGTTGGGTTTCATTTTGAAGGTTATTGAGTTTAGAGACCTCCGCGTAATCAGGCAGACGTAGGACACAGGGCAGGGCGCCTAGATATTGACAGTGGTAGCCGACAAGATCAGCAAGTCTTTTGAATTCCGGTTCTAGTTTTGTGCCTTGGATCTGGTAGTAACCATCAGATGTCTCTCCAATGAGGTAGTGTTTGATCAAATGACCATCCTCAAGACCTTAAGAGAGATGTCACAAAAATTAGTTTTAAAATTACAATTGTTTTTTAACGCATCCGCTGTGTGCATTCTTAATAAGTCGTGTTTTTTTACCGCATGCAGAAACACTAACTGATAAATTCGGATTTCTCGTTTTCAGAAGCAGCCTTATAATAGATTTTTGAATTAATAAAGGCGCTGTCTTCTTTTGATTCCTAACTGCCTATTCAAATTGTCAACGTTTTTGATTGAACGTGGCACATTTGATGTTCAATTTGAGACTCATGTCACTCTGCTTCCACTTTACTGCTGACTGCTCGATTATTTTGTCCCCAGGCTTAATGTCGCTTTCATACACGACCCTCATTATGAAAAAAAGTGCTGCTAATTGCAAAAGACTACATACTTTTTAATGCGCGTATAAAGCTACTATGTTCGTGTAGTGCTTTCTCATCAAGGATAATCAGCGACATTTTTAAAGCAATTTAGGTGCAGATTCTTTTCGCCGAAATCCTGGTCCCTTTTATGCAAAAGCAATTCCATGCTTGAATTAGTAAAGATATGCCCGTACACGCTAACTCCTGATAAGAACTGAATCTTAGGTAACAGAACCAAATAAGGAAACAGACGTGTCCAAATTTTAATGGGGATTGCGAAAATTACTGACAGATAATGATCAGGACAAAAAAAATTTGTTTGCGTAAGGCCTATCAGAACTTTTAACAGCAGCTTTGGATACGTTTTACACAACTAAGTCGCCATTGAACGACCGCAAACGATATTTGCAAAGGAAAATATTCTTAAACACTTTCTTGTTGATCCGAATTAATTGTGCTGTAAAAAATAGTATTATGAACTATTTGGCTGTACCATTATCTTGGGTTTTGTAAAATTTAATGCATATAAAATGACTGCAACAAAATTCGTCTTCTCTTTAAAACAGTTGCGAATGTCCATCATATGAAAGACTTGGTAGGAATTGACACATTTCACTGTTTACGTAGCAAATAATGCTGGTATATACTTAAAAAATAATTTTCCTTCAAATGAAAAAGACAGTTTAAGTGTTTAATTTTTTTAACTTCAAAGTGGCAAACACTCGATGCATGATTGTCCTTGCGGTGATCTAAATAAGTGAGTAATTGAGTTGGACAATGTTTATCCGCATCCAGCACGCACGGGGTGCATTTCAATTTATGTTATGCGTCCTCTACAAACAGTCGCCTGCATACAATGTTGTGATCTTTTGGAGCCAATTTATTTAGACATAAGCATGAAATTTGAATCTCGTAACCGAAAGTGAATGTTCAAGTTTTCAGATAGCTACCAATAGCATTGGCGAAATAAGTAGTTAGGCGTTGGGTTGGTAAGTTTTTACAATTACAGCTCAAAAGTTTTAATGCTGTAGTGCTGAATGATCCTTCCGCTCAGCAAAGCAAATATGCTTCAGACTGCTTGCGGATATTAGCACAAGATATTTTGATAAAAACTTCGCCATCCCAAAATAAATCAAAGCTTTTTGGTTTTATCAGCACTACCAGATTAATAAGTCTACGTTTTGTTTTGCTGGGTTCTGTTTGACTTGGCGAACCATTTTCATCAAAATATTATCAATTTTCAAGTTGGTCAGCCTAAAATACAATGCAAGCACACACAGACGCACTACAGTAAAACCAAATTGAACTTGTAGCAGTATGAAAATAATGTAGAATTGTTTTATTCGCGAATTCCAATGGGTGCTGTGGCATTTGGCATTGAGATCCTGGGTCACAGGTAAGGGTACAACCGCAGGTACTTACTATTATATCCGTCGTTTCCACCGTGGTCTTCGGTTTTAATGGTCAGGCCGTAGAACCCGGGGTACCGTGAGCTTGTTCGAATAACGAAGCTACCAGGTGGTTGTCCTTTGAGGTAATCAATACCTAAAGTCATAACTATTGATGCATGTAGGAAAGGACCAAAAAATAACACTCAAGGAAAACATTTTAAAATAGTTTCGTAAATAAACTGATTTATGGGCAAAATTATTAAATTAGACCCCTTTTTATAATCGTATTTATAGATTAGGATGAAACCGTTTGAAATAGTCTATGTCTTGTACTACAAGCCCTTAGAGTTTACAGATAATAAGAGTACATAGTTAGGCGAAATCAAAATTTTATTCCAAATAAGATGTATGTTGCAATTCTTTAGTTAAAATGTAGAGGAAGGAGGAATGATGAAAGGCTGATTTTGGTTATATTTTGAAGACAACATCACACGTCTTTTGAAAGCATGGTTAATGACTTGGACCCATCACTCAGGTCCATAACAGGCATTAACTATGAATTGTTAAAATGGAGCAGAAATTTTTAGGAATAACTATTTTACCTTGAAAAACTAACTTTAAACATTATGTGGCTGTTAGCTTATAGAAAATCTAGGTAAAACAATGACTTCTGAAAAATTAATAAATATGGAGGTTTCATTTTTAATAATCGGTATTAGCAGGCCCGATAACTTTGTTCAAATTAAGCGAGCTTTCGAAGCAATTTAGTGTTTATTTTATTTCGGGTGCATCGCACAAAGGACTCATCTGTGGTATTCCAACCTTAGTTTGAATGATTAGTAAACTGAGTCAAAATGGTAAACAAATGTTTGTCCTCATTTCATATTCCTGGATGAATCTCGGCTCGTGCTACAGCCCCTCTGGTATGAACACCTCTGACCTGTTCGCTTGCACTTATCTCTTGCTGTTTGTTAGACCGTTTCCGTACGTTATATCTAAACTATACCTTTAAATCATCACGCGACTAAAATAAAGCTCTGGTAACGCAAAAGAAAATGGGGACTACAAAATTTAAATGGTTGGGGATTCGGCAAAATTGTTAAAGGATTTCAAATCAGAATAAATACTTCAAATCTGTTCATGTATTGTGAAAATCTGGATCGTGTCCTAGTTGTAGATTTATGCAAATCACACTGACTGTCATTTGGCCTTTGTAACTCCAACTTATTGCGAACCAAAATAAGTTTTTATAAAAAAAACTAACAAGTCTTACATTTGGCTTCCCACAAAACAGCTTTTGTAACCACTTTTGACACCAGCCCCACTGAAGTACCATTTTATCATTGTCACAGCAATAATTCCCTCGAAAAGCTAGAGAGGAACAATTATTACTTACTAGCGTCTCTCGAAAAGCTTGGTCTGAACCACTTGTCCAAAGTGCCTAGGATAGCATTTTCGTTAACCGTTGGCGTACTACTGGAGGATCCACAGCGCCATTGGGCCAGTTGCCGCATATTATCCTGTGGTGAGAGCCGGAAATTGTGGGACTCCCGATGCCGGGGCAACGCACCCAGGCTGGAGGCCGATTTGATAGCTGGGTCTGAATTTCGACAAGTGGGCATAAAAGCTTTACTCCAAAATAAGTAGAAGTTTCGTTGAACTCGACTGCTGATATTCTAAGTAGCTTGCATATGATACATGCTGTTGCAAAATAAATGATTCGTTGTTTTTATATACGGCATCGTAAGAATTCTGGTGTTAATAGTGGACAAATGTATTTAGTCGATGAAGGTCAACAACTGGAAGTCAACTCGTGTCGTCAATTTGAACCCTGTTGAACTTTGTCTGTGCTTAAAATTTTGATTTCATTTGCTTAGACAAAGCTACGGTAAACTTATGTAAATGCAAGTAAAGCCACAACAGAGTATCAGGGAAGACGAAAAATAAAAAAAAACGTTTTCAAGATATTCAATTTTTGTTGACGCACCCCACTGTATGCACTTTCCTGCACGAAGCAGGTACCTAAAAGGGTAGAAGGAATACAATGGAACGTGAAGGAGAGAAAGTGGAAACCATTTTCATCTAGTATGTAAAATTTTATCAACTTTCAAAGAAGGAAGCCCAAACACAGACTTATGTAAACGTCATTATATGTGTCGGGAACGCAAGTTTTAGAAATAACTATTCCCATAAACAAATGATTCTGCCTGTGTTCTTCCATACAGCGCATCAGTCATTCCGCAGTACAGAGTAAAAGAAATTTTGTGACTTTTGACAGGCTATAAAACGATTTTGCACAACATTCTGATTTATGGAACGTTCAAATTGAGTGGGTCAGTAGGGTGGATCTGCACAAATGATGAATAAACTAAAAGCTACAAATGCTTGTTATTGTGGTCAATATAAGGACAGTAGTCATTTTCAAAACAAAAAGCAAACTGTTCTTACTGCAAATAATAATAGTTCAACCTGCACTGTCATAGTTCCGGGTTTGGGTTTTAAGGTGAAAGTTACAAAACTGACCTTTTAACGTACTTTCTACCGCAGGGCTGAGTGATCTCTGTCCTGTATCTTTCTGGATCACTGACTGCAACAAATGCAGACGAATAATATTTCACAATTTTGTTAATTGTAAATTACCCAATTGTTGTGACAGTAAGAGTCGGTACTCAAAAGAAAATCAGTGAAGAACGGTTTACTGACACAAGATACAAAAGGTTTTTGCATCTTAAAGAACGTATTTAAAACGCCAATAATTTCGCACTTATTGTTACATTCCGATTCTAAGTTGTTGTCTTGCACATATATAAAATTCGGCTGTTTTAAATTAACCAAAAAATATAGAAATTAAGGATACATTTTTAATATTATGCGAAGTCACTGGGCAGAAAAAATTGTCCCACACTTTTGTCACTCTGGTTCCCTCAAAAAGTGCAATTTTAAGCCTTTACACATCTGACAGAGATTGGTTTCGTTTTGGATTACTATTTGTAAAAGATCATACATAATAAATTCTTGTTTTCTAAAATCTAGTCACTCTTAGGTACTCTAAACCGGGATAGAGATCGCAATGTAAATACCTTATGTGAATACTTAGAAGATGTATCAAATATGTGATGCCATGTAATGTCATGTTCTTATGAATTTAAAATCATCTGTCATCATTTGCAGATTTCGCAACTGTTTTAAGAAATGCGATCAGGCAAGTCGTTGAAGCGGCTCTAAACAATTGCTTACATGGTAATTGCCCTCCCAGACTTTGCGATCGGGATGTGGTCAAATTGAACGATTCTTTTGGGAGTTGGTATAGCTACAAAACAGTTTGTTTACTCAGTAAATGAACATTCCACTAAATGCCCATTTTACCTCATAAAAGCCAATTTCGAAAACTCTGCTGAAAATGGTAGACATGGACTTGCTCAGCGTTGTATTAGCATATTATACGTTCTGCTCTCGTCGCGGAAATCGTGCATAAGTAATAAAGCATAAACCGATGTTTTCAATAAGTGCCTTCATTTAAATCTTAAAAACCTATCATTCTACAGCAACATTCTAGAATTGAAGCATGAAATTTTGAGCGAAAAATAAGAATTACTACGATACTTCTGGAGAGGAAGACATTTGAAAATTTTGGCATTTACACCACACACATGACTTGATTTGCTTTCATCAGAATGAACGAAAGTGAATGCTTGAAAATTATTTAATATGGCTTTGTTTTCAAGGGAATAAGCACGTCTAAATGACATTTAATTAAATTTAAGAAAAGGAAACACATGGCACAAAATTAGTACAATTTGTAGGTTATGTAAAAGGCTTACAGAAAATTGTGACAAGTAGATTGATTTTTTTGACACGTGATTGTCTAAAAAAGAATTATTTCTATTTAATTCAAATTCACCTAGACACTGTAGCTTCATTTTGGATCGCTGACCGTTCAGTCCGATAAAATTGTTTATTTAAGGCGTTAAATTGTAAAATGTCGAGGGTATATATCTGAAAATTTTTGCTGCAAATTATTGCATTAATTATGCGCAAGCACTGATGATTTACACGTACAACGTCGACTTTTATAATCGTCTGCATCTAATTTCAGAATTTTAGCGAAAACATAAAATATTATTCAAATTTGCTTCCAGTCAATCTCTAACATTCAGAAGATATAAAGTTATATAATTTTTTACGAGAAAAAGAAATAGACAAATGATTCTTATTAAGTGCCACTTCAATAGTCTCAACTACGAATAGAGCGATGCTGAAATGATAAAGACGGAACGTGTAGCCAACAAGGTCTTGGGACCAATTAGTATGGCAGGAAACTAAAAGGGAATATGCCTCTAGAAAACTTGTCCGTCGCTGATGCATCAACTTCATTGAAGTAAATGATAACTTAAGACTTTGAGCCTATTATGGATTTGTTATTCCAGCGTAATAAAATGGGAATAAATTCGTTTATTATAATAGCAAAAACATTTCAAGCACATGCAGCTGAGCAAATAGCTACTAATACTTTACATCATTGATTTGAAAATGCTTTTATTAATCTTTTGAGAAAAAACGCTGGAAAGAAAAGTGGCAATTACTGAGTTTACACTCTTACACAAATAAGGACCTCTTGTTATTTCCTATAGTGGATCTTCGGGCGGCTAGAAAGAGGAACACGTTTGAGCCATAGGGAGCCTTCACCTTGGTATGGATGGATTAAAATGCTTTTAGGATGCACATATTATTTACCTTTATCTTGTGGTATGATACAGGTAAAAAAGCACTTCATGCTGTATACAGAATAATGATGCTGCGAGTACCAGCATGTCTTGTAATAGTTAAGAAAATAAGTCAGAAAGTAGGCAGTGAATTTAAATGCTACTGTCATTCTATCGAATTTAACTCATACATGTTTTAGACAATGTTATAAGATTGTTTAGTTGACCTTCTGCATAGTCATATACTTTTTTTAATAAAATGTTACTCACCTTTAAACATGACTGCATTTACTTTTAGTCCGTTTTATTAGTTTAGCGTTGTTTAATTTGCTGAATCAGGATGACATCTTGCAGGCCTTTTGAAAGCCTACTTCTCTTCTGCTTGGCCAAGCTGAAATGCTATTTTATTTGATAGAATCCAGCATGCATTCAACTGCATGTGCGTCCTTGAGGTACGACCGAACATCGCTGAGCGAATCAAATTATTTCATAGCAGGGATAGCCTGTTATTTAGGAACACCCCAGTACAAGTATGTTTTGCATTCTACAGTTAAGAAGTAAATTTTAAGTGAGATTAAAGTCCGAAATGCAGTCGAATGATGTATACTACAATTTCAAAAGTCACAATTTTTCCTCTGCATCCACAGGTCAGTCAAATGTACAATCGGCCATTCATTTTTTTACTGTTTAACTTAGTTTAACATTAGAAAAAACCAATTTTGCTACTGATCTAAAAAACGAATGGATGATTTATTAGCACATTAATGATGTGGTGCGTCACTGCCATGGCTAAAATACCAGCATTTTGCAGATATGTATTTGTAGATTTTGTACGTAAATCCTAATTAAATCATATTCGAGAAGTAAACTAAATGCTGTACCAGCCGAATGTCTTTGTCGCCTGTTCAAACAGACAATCTCTTTCAACGCACTATATGCACGTATGATGAATGAGATCAGAAAACGAAAATAAATTATAGTTAGAAGGAATTGTTAGTAACGTGAATTCAGGCAACCAAAGTTTACTTGTGTTGTATTTGAATACAGCATAAGAGTAACATTAGCGTTAGGTCACCTTTGATGAGTGTGCCGTATTTGAAACGCACTCGGATTGATTAGCAACTCATCCTCATGTACAGAAGCTATTTGTGATGAGCAGCAGCGTTTTTATTACGAATGTCTTGAATGATAAGTTCATTGACAAAATATGAGCTAGACAAGCAAATTACTTTCTCAACTATCTTCAAAAACGGGAATCATTTTGCCATCATCTTTTTTCAGTAATGACCTTCTTCTGGCCACTTTAGACATTTTAGCAGTTACGTCCCGCTTTGAACCCACAATTTCATAATACGTTAACCTAGCAATGGAAGT